AAGTCATTGACCTCTCTCATTAGCTCCGATGTATAGCATGATGCCTGATCACAAAGTACCTCACGCGGGAACCCGATTCGAGAAAACATCTCTACCAGTGCCTCGGCTACTGTGGCTGAATCGATGGATGGCAGGGCTATTGCATCTGGGTATCTAGTAGCGAAGTCCACTAGTGTTAGTATATATCGATTACCCATGTGTGATATTGGCTTTAAAGGCCCGATAATGTCCACTGCCACTCTTTCGAATGGGGTGTCTATCAAAGGCATTCGACCTAGTGGTGCCTTACCAACTCTGCTCTTGGGGTAGGTTCGTTGGCATGCGTCACAAGAGCGCACGTATCTCCTCACTGCCTCTTGAACTCCTGGCCAGTAAAATGATTGTAGAACACGATCAATCGTTCTTTTTATTCCTTGATGCCCCGACATCAGGGTTTCGTGCGCCAAAGTAAGCACTTGGCTGCGCAATCTTTGGGGCACTACTACTTGTTGAATCACCTTACCAGATGGTAGGTGATAATAGCGGTATAGCAGCCCCTTTTCTATCTCGAACGAATAGGACTTTGATCCTCCCTGTAGCCCTTGACCTACTTTACTCCTGCAAGAATCTAGGGTCTTGTCCTGTTTTTGAGCGGCACTAAGATCCTTTCGGGTCGTCTTCAAGGTGGGTACATCGATTTCAGATGAGATTGACCGTTGCTCTCGGATTTTGATACCAACCACTGAAGACTTCAGGGTACCATCCTCTCTATCTGCTCCTTTTCCACTCGCTATATAGTTGGGGTAGGTTTTTACCGGAATCCTTTCCTCCCACTTGGTATCGGGGTCATGGACTTCACGTGAACCTGGTACATTTCCGACGATAAGGTCGTAGAGTGGGTTTGTCATGCATTTGACAATAGATGTACCGGAAAAATAAGGTGAATGAATTTCCACCTCCGCCTCAGGAACGATGATGCTACTGCCATCGGCTAAGAATAGCGTAGCGGTAGTACCTATGAGGGCTTCATCGGGTACCAGAGAACGACGCACCACCAGTGTATTGCTACCCGTATCCCGCAACACTGAGACGGTTCGGCCAAAGATTCGGCCCTGTAACACGGGCATTTTGTGTGTGGCAAACTTCGGGTGAGTATTCACGGCGCCCGCCATGTCCTCTTCTTTGTCCGGTGAAAGCTTCACTTCCGTTGAGTGCTCCTCTGGCGACAAAAGACATGACGTCTTGTTGGCTGAACCGTTCTTCTTTGAGCAAGTTTTGGAATCATGCCCCGCCTTCTGACAATATCCACAGAAAGGTTGTTTTGACCTTGATCGGCACTCCGATGCCCTGTGACCCATTTTGCCACATACAAAACAACGTACTGCTCCTCTCTCCGAGTAACTACCACTTTTTTCCGTATTGCTTTTAGATTCCACTTTTTCTCGGAAAACTAACAGGTTGACTTGCCTCTGAGCTTCTAAAAAGTTATCTGAGGCCTCGGCCATGTCCTCTAGCTTGTTGAAGTTCTTTTCTCGCAGGAAAAGTGCCAAACGGTGATGACAGTTTCTTAAGAACTGTTCTGTAACTATCAAGTTACGAAGAGCCGAATATTCTTTTCCGGTCCTCGACATTTCGACCCAACGATCGAAAAAACTCAGTAGCCTAGTTGCGTACTGCTTGCCTGTTTCGCCGTCCTGTGGCTTGCTTTGTCGGAACTTTTCCCGATACCCTTCGGCCGTAAAACGGAAACGCTGGAGCAACGCCAACTTGGCTTTATCATAATCGAGTGAATCCTCCGGCGAAAGTCTTCCAAACACCTTTAAGGCTTCTCCGCTCAAACATAAACTTAAAGCTGTGGCCCATTTGTCCCTAGGCCATTCTTGACCGATGGCGACTCTCTCGAACCTTTTTAAATAGGCGTCCAAGTCGTCCCGGCTTTCATTAAATCCCGGTATCAACTTATGAGGATTCACGCTGCATGAAACACTCCTTTCTTGTGCTGAGCCTGGTGCTGAGTCAACAGTTCTTGTCTCTACACGGCTATTCTCAGCTTCGGCAAGTCTAAGACGCAGTTGCAGGTTTTGGTTCTCTAATTCCAGCTGCTCCTTCTTTGCGCGTGTCTCCAGTTCGAGCTGTTTTTCTTTTTCGCGCGTCTCGAGCTCAAGCTGCTCCTTCTTGGCCTGCGTCTCCCGTTCCAACTGTTCCTTTCGAGCTTCTCGTTCCGCAGCCCGTTCCTCTCGTGCTCGTGCCTCCTTCTCCTCGTACCATGCTTTAAAATCCGCCCCATCAATTCCCATGCGATCCGCCAAGGCCATTAGCTCTCGCATATTCGACATGATGTCAACCGCGTCAATAAATGAAGGTGTCAAACCAACGGCTTCGTCCTGTCGCTGCGGACGCCAGTTTGTGATGCGGGTTCTTGTTGCTGATTTGTTTCTCCTGGTTGAGCCCCGGAGAGTTTTTCTAATAAGGACAAAGCCGTTTGCTTAACAAACAACACCTAAACATTTACTGCAGAACTGAAGCAAAACTCAAACACAAACTACAAGAAATGAGTAGCTGGCTAAAAGCGGGATTTAGAAGGAAAACAAACATCTAAAGTCCCGAAACTGTCGACGGAAAGTCACAGCTACATGATGCAGTTCTGACGCGGTGATTCGGCGGTGCAGGGAAGAGAGCAAGTTCGATCTCACCAAAACGTTGCTGCTGTAATGGTGGCGACGGCGTGTACCGATGCTCGCTGGCGGCAACGATGGAACGGGACTCGCTCGGTGATGCCTGTGGCGGCCCAGATTCGCCCGATGAGGTGGCTGGTTGCAAGGCTCAGGCCCGTGACCCGAACTGCCGTTGCTGCACCCGCACCGGAATCTGCAGGCCTTGGTCTCGCCCGTTGAGGCAGCTCGCCGTCCTTGGAAGGCGTTGTCCGGAGGTCCAGACCGGGTGAAGTCCAGAAGGCTCAGGTCTGCCACCCGACTGCCTGTCTTCAGCTCCCAGCTGTGACCTTCCTCTTGCCTCGTTCACCTCGAACTCCTAGCTCTTTTGCCCTTCAGGATTTTGGGGACGTTAAACAAAAACACCACACATCAATCAAATCAATCTCGCAGCCAGTGTCTTCCTAAGGACTGCCTTTATAAAGATGAGCGGGCAGAAAATGTAACTCTCTTTTATTACCACCTTCTTTCTTAAACGCCTGCGTGAGAAAACATGTGGTGTTCCAGTAAAGCTTACAAACTACGCTTTTTTTCGCAGTTTCTCGCAATAAAAACATTTTCATTCCTTTGTCGAAGAGTTACGAGATGCTTTTTTGTGTTACAAAGTTAAGCGAAATAATGAAACGTACATGTGTTAGCCACAGCAGCTGCGGGTAATTATCAGTCACTATTGCCTTTGTTCGACACTTTTTAATGGATGAAATCACGTGGTTGCTGGATTTTCCGGAAAATTAGAACGTGTGCCCAACGCTTATGTGAATGTAACTGAGAAATCATTCGTGCTCTTCGACACTGGTAAAAACCTCATCGGTGGTCAGGATCACTGGTGAAAAAAATCATGTTTTTAGACAGTGTACGCCCAAGGAGTTCTGGAGAGCTTCTGAGGTTATTATTTTTGTCATTTTTAGCGGCTGCAAGTGTCCGCTTAGGATGGGTAAGTACGGCCCTGTATGACCCTGCAGAACAGTTAGCAGGTGCTGTTTTATTTTTGGCAACCGATATATGATAATGTATTTCTACAGAGATGTCAAGAGATGTATCTTGTGGCTTCAATGGTTTACGACTCTCAATATCTATATGTGTCTCAAAGTTTCAGTTGTGAAGAATAGTTTGTAGGGCGATTTTTCTTTAATGCTACTTTAGCGGGTTGACCAGCTCTTGCGGGCGTCCACCGCGCCTGACAGAGTACACTTTCAACCGTGATATTGTTACTTAGAACTCGTTTATTTAATTGAAGCGAAGATCTTCGTGCAAGCACGTGGTATTTTTTTATTGATCCGCTCAGCCATTGTGGGTCCACATATCGTACGTGTTATAGGCAATCACGTGATTTTCGCCAGTGATGAAATGTAAAAAAAATGAGCTGGGATACGAGACATGACCGTTAAAATTGTCTGTGTCCTTTTTTTTACCCTCAATACAAATTAATGGCATTCCACTGAAACAAGCATACAAGTTTGTTAAAACATCCCTTCCCCCACGTTACTTTCCATTGACAAGTGCATTACTTCAAACATGCTATTGTGAAATATGTCATTCGTGTAAAAGGTTCATCAACAGTAACGAGAAACAATTTCAATTATATTACGCTAGATATTTTGGGAGAAGACAATAAATGCCTTAGACAAAGGCTTGAATTCTTTTAAAATTACAACAGTAACGCAGTCAATATACCATACGCAGTACGGTAGGTAGGCAAGACAGCCAACAAAACAAAAATATATTTCTTGGTGAAGAAACAACAGTAGCACACCAATCCAGTCTATTTCAGCTCACATGATCGACAAAAAATATGTTGCATAATGCACATTTATTCATTTATTTATTTAAGTTAATGATTATATACTTTGTCCCCAGGGCCTGTCGGCATTAAACGGTGTTGTGGGCTATTCGGAAAATAGATGAAAAGGAGCGATGCTTGACACAGATGAAATAAGTATTCCAAGTTCGTGTAACATAGCTGTATGGTACATGCGGATGCTTTGGTACTTTATGGTCTTTGTTCCTTGCGAGCGATCACTGGTTTTAGCGCAGTATACTGAGGTTCGATTCAGCCAAAATTCATGTGTAAATAAATGTGGTTTAGAAGCATTTTAGGTTTCAGTTAATGGAAAAAATTTCAAACCGATATTTTGGTGTCTAACACATGGTGTAATAGAGCCATGTTGTCCTTCGTATCAATTTTCTAGTTTTCCTGTTTTAAATTTGTATTTAGTGCATGCTTAGTGGCAGCTACTCTTCTCGAGCTCGTTGTATTCTATAAAGGACATTTTTTTGTCTGAGTTGTTTAACACTCATTTCCTTGCAGACTTATGGCGTACCATCATGTTCTATCAATACAAAGAGTAAGTCTATTATAATTTCTTGTTTCGGCCGGTCTTAAAGCTTTGATTTGAATGCCTAAGCTTCAATCATGGTTTACCACTATTAGAATGTCTTTCCCTCTCATCCATGTTCTAAACCTGACTTGATTGTGTTTGACAACACACTGCTTTCAGGATTTTTATCAAGTATCTTAGGCCATGCTGACAGCAGTATCGCTTTTCGAGGAATCAAAACAGAGGGGCACATGTGGGCCTGCCACCTTAATGTCCTGAAACGAAAATAGACGGGCAATTCATGTGCAATGAACGACATTAATTGCATGCCCTAGCTTCGCTGAATATCGAGTTAATCCAGGTACATCAAGCATTTCTTGAGTTAGCGCCTCCTATATTAAAGCGCCTCCTCTATTTAAATATAGGAGGCGCTGGTTGAGCAAACGTTGCCATTTTTGACAGAGCTGCTCTTGCTGCTTTCATCGCCATTTATTCAGTCATAGCTGAAGATTCAGTCTCATGGTCTCGACGTTGAAGGAGAAGGCAGTCAGTGGGTTCCAAGGCGAAGCTTTATATTGTGGTGAACTTTGACCCTGAAAATGAAATCCCTAGGTACAAGCATTGGCCTTGTGCCCTGACAGTGGCGAGAACAGTTATCGGCCGCGGAGTAACCTGCGAAGCGGTGAAAAGCGTCGGCTTTCATACATGCACTACCGAAAACTTTACAGCGTTATCGATGGAAGCCGTCGAAGCTCTCGAATGAACCTGACTATTCGTGTCCTGCGCGCAACTCGACAGAATGAACTCAACCAATCAGCATGCTTCTCAAACATTGCAGTGTGCAGTATGGTGTGTGAGGCATTGCTTACAGTCTTTGTGGGTGAATTTCGAATACATCAAAAGAAAACAAGCTTGGCAATACAAACTTTGTATGTGATGACGCAGTGTAATTGATAATGTAGATCTACGTCATCAAAAACTTCGGGCATAAAAGAAAAAGAAGACCAGGACAGCATTTAAAGCAAGAAGACAACAAAATAATTGCTTTCACTTTGACATTTTTGGGGCATCAATCACTATGCCACGTTTTTTTTGCATCAACCGTCATTGTCAAGTGGTATTTATGGTATAAACAATAGCAAATATTTTAAAAAAATTCTTTTTTATGACCAAGTCGAAAAAAGGGAGATTTTTAAAGTAGGCTGACAATTGAAGTAAATAGAGAGAGAAGGAAAAATATTGCAAAGGTAGGGAGATAACTTGACTAAGTCCAGTTTGCTACCCAACACAAGGGAGAGGGGAATGAGGGAGAGAGAGAGAGAGAGGAGGAGGAGATACGTATTGCACATAACACACACACTGCACACAGTTCAGGTTTCGCAGGCGGTCGCACAGTGTCGTTGCCCTCAAGAATTGTAGAAAGGCTCGTGTGGCTTTCTGGGCTGAAGTACTTGTAGGCCACGCTCCCAGGATCTTCTCCAGAGTAAAGGGGAGATCATCCAGCCTTCTTAAAGGGGTGGTGCCACCAAATTCGTGGCATGCGTGTTCTTTGCTGTAATCGTTTCCTTCACCTCCAGGAAGCATAATACACACACCAAAATTCGTGTATTTTTGCTAAATAATTTAATATTGCTCTACTTATGTGGGCCATTTTCGGTTTCGGTTTCACGGTGCTGAATTGGGCAGTGACGTCGATGCATAGATGGCTTGGTCAGGTGACCACACAAGGCTTTGTCGCACATCGTGCTGAGTTTCATCTGCTCTCATACACGCGTGCCACACCAAGCACCAGCGAAACAAACGCGCTGACAGTTGCCATGGCCAGCCGCAGTAGCATCGAGGCAGTGTCAAGGCAAAAGGCAGCAACAAGGAAACAAAGCGTTTATATTTACAGCGTTTCTACAGAACGCGGACGAGGAAGCCACCCAACGCTCGATATGCCAGTCTTTTATAGGTGCCGAGATGCTGATGGAGGATGAGACAGCTCCGCGTCTCGGAACGCCGCGTCGAGTGTTTTTTCGAAAGCACTCAGAGACGGACGCACACAGTGTCCCTGCAAGGCACTGTTATGAGTGAAGTGCGCGAGTGAAGTGATTTTTGAATTTTGCGCGGGAAGATGAGCCATTGACAATGTGTTACCTGCGTCAGTGCGGCTAACTCTGGCCATTGAAAAAAAAAGCAAAAGCAAGAAAATCGCAGAAAGATTCAGAGCGACTGCATGGAAGAAAGAGGAAGAAGAAGAGACAACGTAACGTTGTGGTTTTTTTGTTTCGCACAACGTGCAGGTTCGATTTGGGAGGTCAGAGGAACCACCCCAGGACACTTCCGGAAGGAAGAGTCCGTTTGACGCGAACATTTATTAACAATTAGCTCGAGAACACTTAACTCAAATATAATGAGTCTCATCACTCGGATACAGTTACCAAGAAATACAGAAGTGAAGCTGTATACTAGTTTCTAAATAAAAAGTTTTAAGCATGCAGTTCCTTTACCCAGAATGAGTCGCGGAACGTCAAAGGAGTGGCATCTCACTCGCGTCGTTGCGTATAGGAGCCTGGGCGCGAAGCACGGGGGTTGATGTCGTCGTCGTAGTTGGCGTGAGCGTTGGGCAGCTACACGAGCCGTAGAAGAAGCGGACTTCCTAGGCTGCCGGTGGATGCTGCACCAGCTAATGCTGCACAAGCTGACCCTGCACCAGCTGAAGCTGCATTTGACGCCCTAGCCTCGAGGTAGAGTTCCGGCCGGACAGCCTCACCTGAGCTCGAGCCCGAAGATCGACAGCCCGGACCTGTCCACGGGCATGGTAACGCCAGCGCAGCCTAGTAGTCCTGGAGCCCCTCAGGTCACCAGACGATGGCAATACCAGCCTTGGCTCGGGTCCGAAACCCGACCGCCCTGTTGCGAGGCTCATATTCCCTCGCTCGCTCGCTTGCTTGCTTGATCCTTTGTCGTGGATCTCAGCCACTTGTGGAGGATTGGCCTAGAAGCCGGGGGTTAATGTAAGTCAATACCTTAAGCTTATTCAGGCTAAGAAAATAGGATTACTTTGTTGTAACTTGGCGGGATTGTTTTGGCACAACGTGAAAAAAGTGAAAGAAAAGAAATAATATTTTTTTTTAATAACTGAGTTGTAATCGTTATATGAAATTCTTCTGACGATTAATTCATCACAGTGTAATAGTTAAATATAAATGTTAGACTAGCTAGTAAAATTCAAAAGCTGATCAATGGCTTAGCAAGGCAATCTTCTTGTGGCACATAGGAATTCGCAGAGAGCCCCGCACATCTTCCTGTCGCTGAGTCCTAATGAGGCAGCCCCCCCAAAAATATGAGGAGTAGTAAGTGATATCACTGGCATTTTCAATAAATTCTTTTTCTTTTTTCATGTCTCGCGCGTGCTTCGAACAAGGCTGCGTCTGCGTCGAATTGGCGCTTCAGTCATTTCTTGTTATTCATTAACAGCCGTGCCAGCTTCCTTTTCCTTGCTGACTTCCAACTTCGTTCATGGCGTGCACTTCAAATTCCGCTTGCCCCGTTTAAAGTTCCGCGCACTCCACCCGCTTTAAATTCCGCACATTCGATCACAGGAACGCCAGCACACTCGTAACAGCAGGCATGCTAATGCTCTTCTCGTTCACAAAATGCGTTTCGGAGATGGTGGAGGTCACTCACGTCACTACAAGTCTGGTATGACGTCATGACAACTGCCGTCGCTTCTCCTATTCTGAAGCGTCAGTGTTGCTGCGCGAGCAATTTCTTTAGGTCATAAGACTGAGCATTCAGCTATGCTTTTAGTAGTAAAATAAGATACATTCTACGCGTTTCTTGTGTCCGACTCTTCGTATAGAGAGTCCTTGCATACAGAGGAAACCAACAACAGACTTGGGACAGCCTCGAAATTTGGTCTCACCACTCCTTTAAGGCACACTGGAGAGTCCGGCGATCTTCTAAATCTGGACAATGCCACATGACATGATCGGGCGTTTCTACGCTATGGGAGTTATCATAGTTGTGGGAGTCAGCCTTACCTATGCGATAACCAAAAGAATTGGTGAAGGCAACGTCGACTCACGACCGACGCAGCAGTGTAGCATCCCCTCGCGAAGCCTTTGAAGGCTGCAGCTGCAATTGGAGTAATTAAGCGATGTTCTGTGGGCGTCGAGTGGAGTTCAGTGGAAGATTCCAATGCATAAGTGTGGTATTATGCGCGATGTGGCGAAGTTCTTTTGTGGCATCAACCTTTGACAGGGGTACGAGCAGTGTGGGTGCTCCGTCGTGGGCACAACGGGCAGCGTTGTCGGCGAGGTGGGTACCACTAACAGATTGATTGATTGATATCTGGAGTTTTATGTCCCAAAACAGCCATATGATTATGAGAGACGCCGTAGTGGCGGGTTCCGGAAATTTCAACCACCCGGGGTTCTTTAACGATCACCCAAATCTGAGCACACGGGCCTACAGCATTTTCGCCTCCATCAAAAATGCAGCCGCCGCAGCCAGGGTTTGATCCCGCGACCTGCGGGTCAGCAGCCGAGTACCTTAGCCACTAGACCACCACGGTGGGCCTTACTACCAATCCCACAGCGACCAGGCAGCCTTTGAAAGAATATCTCATGTCCTTTGTTAGGGGTGCGATGACAGATTTCATTGATTTGAGATACCAGCTGGTGGTAGTTCCCACTTCGTAGACTTCGCATACATTGAGGGGCCGCCTTGGAGTCGCAGAAGATGGCCCATTTAGCAGGAAATTCTTGCATAACAAATATAATTGTGGCTAGAAGGGTGGTAAGCTCGGAGCCCGTAGATGTTGAGACGTGTGAAGTCTTGAACTCGACGGTGATTGACCGACATGCAGTCACAAAAGCACCCGTCAAACGTCCCCAGACTGAACCGACCGTATAAATATGGTTTCGGTTTTCATATGATATATGCTGAAGGTCCAGTGAGATCTACTTGAAGGCTGCAGACGACAGGCTAGCCTTTTTGTATATCCCCGGCACTTCAAGCTGCACAGGGGGTCTTCGCAGGCACCACTCCGGGCATAGCGGTATGGTTGCGGGTGAGAATCTCCAGGAGATGGAATGCTTTTTAGCCGCCACCACTCTGGAGAACTCTGCCTTCGGTCTGCCCGCGCTTTCAAATGCCGGAAAAACCAACATCCTGGTCCTGCAAAGCATTCAAGGCTGAGTTCTTGGCACATGCTTGGGATTGCCTAGGTGTGCTAACACGGTCGCAACTATTGCCATCACCAAAGACCACCCGATTACGACCTATATATTTGTCGAAACACTCCGGGCGCATATTCGCCATATATCCAGACTGCCCAACCATCACCTTGAAGTTAATAGTTGTTCGAGAGCAAGGGTCTCTGCAGATGAAGTTGTGACGAGGCGTATAGCTTCCGACGAAAAGATAATATATTGCTGCCCCGAAAAAAGATCTCTCATCAAAAGACTGGCACAACAGACGTGAAGTTATTGCCAACTTCTACTTATCAATCACAAATAGCTGGTATGGAACGTTCATTATTTTTAGACAGCATTATTACGACAACCCATTCAATGTTTCAGTTTGCATGATTAAGGAAGCTACTCCTTACTCGCATCTTTTGGCATGACATAGAAATGCCTTGCAGAGAAATTAGTTATTTATTATTTACTACGAGTTTGTGATTCCGGAAAAAACAGTTATAAGTTATTTATGCCAACACTGCTACACTGGCACGGGGTTGTGACGTTGACAAGGGCTGCATTAGGCTTGTCGTGTACGTAGCAGTGTCTGGTGCTGGGCCTGTTGGTACATAGCTTGGAAACTAGGCAGCAAGCCTTCAAAAAACAAGTACATAAGACAAGAAGTATATGGCGACCATACACGGTGGGGACTAACGTTTTAATGAAAAAAAAATCACAGCGTATCCACGAATTGAATCATGACGAGTGGATGAAGCTCCGGGGGGTCAAGTTCCTGCAAGTCCGGGTCGGCTTACCGGTGCTGCCGTTTCGCTGCAGCTTCGCGAGCCCGCAAGCCTGCATCCGCTTGTCTGCGCGGCAGTGCTGCAGCCGCCCTGCGAGCCCAGAACTCTGGACGGCGTTTCTGCGAAGGCGCGTTGCGAGGTATTCATTCATAACGAAGTGCACTCCGTGACCACCGCTGTAGAAAGAGAGAGACAGAGACGGGATCGAGTGAGCGCTTTTTATAGCTTCTACTGGTCTCCTTAGATATGGATATCTGTATGAATATGAATACACGTATGGATATAGACATACATATAAGTATTCATATGAATATTCGTATAGACATCCGTATGGATACCCAAATGGATATCCACATGGATCTTGATATCCATAGCATGTCATGCTGACGGACAGGGGTCACAATTCGATCCTAAAGAGCCCCGCCCCTAAAACATCTACTCGAAAAGAAAACAAAGACGCGTATGCACCCTACATGATACCTCACCGAAGAGAGCGGTGGGCATGTGATCGACGACGAAGCACAAACAGAACGCCCATATGTTTTAAGAAAGAACGCTGCTAGAAACGTGGAGCATGACACCTCTAACTACGTTTCTCTAAAAACGTCACTTCTTTTGGTGGTGGCTAAATGTAAGGTACGCTTACACACCAACCCTGTCCGTCAGTTTGCATTTCGTATGCCTCAATTATTTCTGTTTGCCATTTCGTGACTCTGTTACCATTAATTTCGTTGTCGTTAATTATGCCTTAACTCCCGAACACTATGCATTGCACAGGCAGGTTTACGCCCTCTCCTGAAGTGACCGATATTTCATGTTCTTTCAGGCGAGTGTTCTCACAGTGCGCCATCTGTCCTATATGTAAAGCCTACCACATAAATGTGGTATCCAAGGGGGAACTCCTTATTTTGCCAAACTTGTGGCCAGTAAATGGAAGCTGAGACTACAACAATGCACTAAAGAAGCCCCCCCCCCCCCCAAAAAAAAAAACTTGCCTATTCCCGTGCTGGACAGATATATTAAGAAAAGTATTCCAGAATACAGATATCGAAATACATGAGCGTAAAGTCTAAAATACATATAACGAGATACATTGTCTTTGCTGAAGCAGAATGTCTCAGAGATACATTTGCAAAAAGACAAAACAAGTATTCTGGAATACAGATACAGAAATACGAATGTAGTTACTGGAATACCTGTTATATTTAAGATGCTGATGTTATAAAACGTTTTTTTAGGTGAATAATATTGTGATTATCATTCTAAAATATTGAAGCTTCCTAGTAAACTATTTTGTCCGAATGACTAATGAACACCAGTGTATTGAGAGAATGCATACGTTCAGTTAACACTGAATATATCTGCTTTGCTGATGAAGTTGTTTTATTAGGCGCACTCAAACAACAGCAGCTGGTCAGCCTGTCTGCTAGCAGCTTGCTTTGACTTTCACGCAAGACTGGAGCGCTCGCAAAATGACTGGCTGCTGAAAAACGTTACGGGCGTTGCACCAGTCTTGTGAGATAGCGACTTTGTCGGCAAGGCTGACAATATCTGTGCTACACGCTTGTGCTGTGACCGTGCAGCGGCGTCGGGTGCTTCACAACCTGGGTCGTTCTGTTGGCGTGACGAACCTTCCACCACCCTAAACGTATCACTGACCGGTGGTGCGAATTTTCCTTGCTTGAAAAACAAAAAAATGTTCATTTCCACTTCTCAAACACGCATTATAGTGTCAACCAAAGAAGCAACGAGACCCCCGCGTCCAGCAGACTCGATACATCGTGTACACTCAGCGCAAATGTATTCCGCTCAACTGAGATACTAACACATTTCAAAAATGTATCTAGACGCAGAAATACAGAAACTCGAGTAGTACCTCTGAGATACCATCGTGATACTCTTGTGTCGCAATACGGCCTATAGCCTTGACTGAAAGATTAATTGTTTGTGGCGTCTCCTACTTGGCATGTATCGTCTGACTCAAGCCAAACTTTGTCTCTCCATAGTTTGTGGACAGGGCAACCCAATGTCGAGGGTACTCAGCGGCAAATTCGTTCAAAGAGATCAACAGCCGTGGATGGTAAGCACGCTGGAATTATCTTTTTGAAGCGCATAAAGTGTTATACGGAAGTATACAGACCTCGTGCCATAGTGTGCGTTAATTAAGAGATGGAGGTACGTATAGTCTGCTTTAATTCGTAATGGTGAAGTCAATGCTACCAGGTCGTGTAAAATATTAAGGAGGGCTAACAGGAAGTGATGTCAAGGAAAGTATTGGAGATATATAGACATTAACATCCCCAATGCATTCCTTGGCATCATTGTCCATCAGTTCTCATAAATGTTGAGTTTAACACAGAAAACGAGCCATTAAATTCACACATCTTTGCTTTAGTCCACTTAAAGCCACAAATGATCATACTAACAAGAGAAAAGCTTTATATTCAGGCTGTTCCAGGTATGCAAAGAAATATAATTTTACCAAGAATTGCCACATGAAGTCAGCCTCGTTACATGATATCGATGACACGGGTTTGATAGGTGCAAGTGAAACATCGATATTTTGAACTCAAGGATAATGGCCAGAATATTTATTAAAAGTGCCAATTCAACAGATGCTACGACAGAACACATGGTGGAACACGAATTAGCCACCGTTTCCGTTGTGTTTTTTTCTTCATTGTGAATGCGCGCTAACATGATCAATTTGGAGTTGACCTAAATATTATTTCCAGTGAGCGCTATGTCTCGTCTTGTTCTTAGTCTTCCAATAAATAGTACTCTTTTTTCATGATTATCACATTGTTAGTAATTGCCAGTAAAGTTCATTTTCGGTCGACGACACGCTGGGCATGGCAGTCATCTACACGTTAGGTATGTCACACGAGAAACAGTAATGCGGCTTCTCCGCACAGCTGTCGTTACTTTCCGAACTTTTCGGAACTCTGAGACCTAAAATTGACATATGCAATAACTCAAAATAAGACCACATCTCGACGCACTTCAGCAACACCACATGTTCTAGGATTTTCATCGCTTCAAGCGGATATATTTCCTAGAACTTCTGGTATATCTGGATTGGCACGAATAAATGTCACGCAACACGACCCATGTAGGCAGTTTCTCATCCTAATCGTAATTGGTACCAATTTGAAATCGCTGCGGGACTGAGGCTTTCTCAGTGATCTCTTATTCTCCTGATCTAGGATACGATAGCTGTGAACAATAGCTGTGAATTGGCACTTGTTTTTCTGTTTGCTTGTTTGTGTAGTTCTGTGATTTGGCAGTCGTGTAGCTCAAACAGAATATCTATTCTGTTGTCTAAGTGATACACTGCATGTTTTTCTGAGAAAGTGCAAAGGTATCATATTATACATACAATGTTGAAAAAAAATCACAGCATATTCATGGAGTGAATGATGATGAGTGCGGCGAAGCGTCCATCCGTCCATCCTTACGTGTGCTGGTTCGTCCGTGAATGCGTCCATGCATATGATCGCGTTCGAGAATGCAGACGGCACGCGGGTAACACCGACGAGACGTGAGCCAAGGAAGATCGAGCGCAAGCTTCTTCAACGCGCCCGCCGTTTGGTTTCGTCGATGCCCCACCAACGATCCGAAACTTACGGCGACTGCCCAGGAGACTGAGAGAGGCACTCGTTCTCCGCGAACTCAGGCAAAGCGCGCGAAGCAGCCAATCGGGGAGTAGCGGTACTTCGGAAAGTAGCGGCAGAGTAACGTCATTTAGGAAATGAGACGAGAAGTGGTCATTCGCTTTTTCCCTCCTTTTCTTTCTCGTCTGTTCGTCTCTAGTTTACTCGTGACCAGTGACAAGGTTAGACTAACAGGAGCTTGGCCCCTAAAAATAATGCCACACGGCAAGCTACATCCAGTGACAACAGGTGCCCTATGGGAACCGCCATAACGAACACTGGCGGAAATAGATGCTACTCTACGAGAAGTTCCATTTCATTCGGTGCAGCATGGTTGACTGACTGCATGTACAGTCGGCCAAATATTTAGCTATCGTGCATCAGTTGCAGTTTCTTCTGTGTATCTTTGCCATATGACTGAACTCAGTTTTAAGAAAGCTGAGGACAAGTGGTTAGGTTAGGTTAGGTTAGGTTAGGTTAAGTGTATGTCGACAAAGCATGTGTCCACAAAAGCAATGTTTTCTAACTTTGTTCTATGCGTTGACATGGCAGAGAAAAAGTGACCACTGCGCACAATAGCTAATCTTTTTCCCGACTGTACATACAACTGCAGTATTCGTCACTGTTTTGAATAATTTATTTTCACTTGCTTCATGTCAGGCAAACGCTTAATGAAGCATACTTTTTTCAACTAGCACAGTGGGTTAGATCAGCTTTGCGCATCTTTGTTGCAAAATCTCGATACAACACAGCTTTTGCTTTGTGAAGTGGAGACGTAAAATGTATTCTTAAACGTGTATATGGAGTTATGCAATATCTTATTCAGATGTGCGTTGTGAATTGCTCGTAAGTTTAATAAAGGGCGAATAGTCATAAAAACAACATTACTTGCGCCAGTGGTTGCTCCCAGTAGTTTTGCGTTAGTGTCGTATATTTAGGTCAGGCAGAGCTCCGGAGGCTTAACCTAGAATGGCACTCCTGTACAACACTCTAATCATGACACAAATTTCAAGCAAATAGGATAACTTGCAGGGCAAATATATGAATTTCCATTATCATCGTGACCAGCCTGACTTCGCCCACTGTAGGGTAAATGCATCTCTTATTTTCGCCAATAAACCCGGTCTTGTACTTTCTCCTGCCCCGTCACATCTGCAAACAACTTCATCTCATCTGCCCACCTAATTTTCTGCCCCTCTCTCACGCGTTTGGAAATTCTTGGAGCCCAGTATTAATTTCAAAACGTATGTTATGCCAATACCGGGACTACACGGTGCCTCCTGGCGTCATCCATTGCGTCTCAGTGACCTTGAGCCAGCGAAGCACAAGTGGGGCAGACGTGATGTCACGGCACGCAATCCGCTTTGAAGAGGCGCCAGTGAATGCGAATTCCCGGAGCCTCACAGCTGTGGTACCACGTGACTACGCAAAAAATACACCACGAATGAACGCTCGCATGCCCCTATTCATGGTCATATAAACATGAAGAGGAGCTCCCGGTGACCTCACGGTGATTTTTATGTGGGGTTTAACGTTCCAAAACCACCATATGATTATGAGAGACGCCGTAGTGGAGGGCTCTGGAAATTTCGACAAACTGGGGCTCTTTAACGTGCTCGCAAATCTGAGCACACGGGCCTACAGCATTTTCGCCTTCATAGAAAATGCAGCCGCCACAGCCGGGATTCGATCCCACTATAGGGATATCAAAAATACTATTTTGCGATATTTCTATCGGTCGCCGAGAGATACTGGGCTCAATTGGGTGACGTTGCACGCAACAGACACGTTCATGTGGGTGGAAAACCTTCTACATGCTCTTTACAGTCGCCAGGCGAGGAAGAACACTTGGAGAAGCGGCTCGACGAACCACCGAACAGGGCGTTGCGAACAGCGAAGGAACGAAATAATATAGTGTCTGGGTTTCAGTTATAAGAGCATGACCTCCGCGATTAAATCCGACGACGTGACGGTGTTAGTGAAGCTACAGTCTATGATGAGGCTCGTGTAACTCCGCTAGCGTACTCGGCAACCAAATTTACAAGTTCGTTAAGGTAAGCACGGCCCTGAACTGACGAGGACGGGACGCAGAGAAAGCACACAGCAGCGCCAAGTTTCAATAATGATGTATTGGAAGCCGGATTAGAGAATATATAATTGCTGAAAGTTGGCGCTTGTGTATGTTTTCTTTGTCCTGTCCTCGTCAGAAGGCCGTGCTTACCTTTATGAACACGCTACACCCACAAGGCCAACAAGCCACCCTTAGAAATTTCCAACTCTCTCAGGTTTGCTCACCATATCTGTAATAAAGCCCAATTTTAATTATATACTTCCGTGGAAACTGTTTGCGAAAGCGAACCAGACATGCCTTTCGGTAGTGATAACTAGGTTTACAATGGGTGAACCTTATGCATCACTTAAAAATTTTAGCCGGAATAACTATAGATATGCTTTCTTTATTATTTAACAGGTATTTCTGTCTTTGAACTTCACTACCATGATCACGTCCTGCTCAGCAGTCATCCTAACGGAGATCCATATGCTGACGGCTGCAAGCTGCGTTCACAGGTGAGAGTGGATGTATAGATGTGCGTGTGGTATGATTGCCTTCTAGCATATCAAACTGCGCATTATTTTTTCAAATCTTCATGTATATTTTGGCATTCTTATTGAGGGAACAGTATTTTATGGGTGAAAGTTGATGAGAGAATCGGCAGAAATCGCTACAGTTATCATTGAGATCGTATGATATTTCCCGGCCGACAGGCAACGCTTCTTCAGCCAAACACTCGCTGTACAATAATATGAACCACCTTTGTTAGGGCAGTAGTCTACCAGTACGTACCTTATTTTTGCTTATGATTGCCCTATAGTTGCTGAGTAACAGATTGGCCTGAAATATCTTCACTACACAAGTCATTTTGCTTCACTCACACATACAACTGACCACGAGGTACCATAACTCTTTGAATCGTGGTGCCGTCACCGGAAACTCAGAATGCTATGCTCAAAGTCAAAATAGTTTCAAGTGAGGCCAGCTGAGAAGTTCCACGGCAATGATCCTTCGGCCTTTCAAAAAAAAATTGTCAGCCCGCCAGCTTTTTGAACAGTTATGAATGCAGTGGGCTAATATTACAGTGACCGGATGGACAGAACCAATTTCCTAAGGTTATTCACAAATACCGCCCAGTTTGTCGCATTTTCTCACTTATTCAGACCCTGTGGTACTGCTTGGTAAGCGGTGGCATATTTGTTTGTTCCGTTAACAATGTCTGCCGTATTCAATACAACTTTAGGAAAACATTTGAGCTTCGTCTTCAAAAATAGAACACGACGCGTGATCGGGCCCTGTGCACATCACCTTCCACCATGACGCAAGGATGTTTGCGGGCATAGCAATAGAACTATCCAATAATGCGTACTGAATGTTGAAACCAGCCAAGTGATCAATGCGCTATGATTCTTTGTTTTGATAATTGTACACGTAACTTCTACGCGTCCGTAAGAAGCCACGCTTAAAATTGCGGTGGCACTCCTTGTAATGGTAGGTACCTTTGAACTCCTCCCTCGTCGCGCTGTTCAAAAGTTTCGATGTCAGGTGTGATTCAACGATTCCGCCACGCAATTTTACATGCGTTTATGATACTTCACTCGCTACACAACATTATTACAACTTTATTTTCTGTTTTGTGAAGCTGTTTTAAGCCCTGTTGTTACTCAGCGTTAGGACACCTGCTAGCCACGTAGAAGGTCTGCTCTAGTTTCGAGTCTCACTCGAATAAAACGTCTTAAAATATATTACTGGCGCCTATTTTAAAGTTTAACTGACAGAATAATAACGCTGATTTTACGTCAGCAACCAAGGACGTCGACACGGCACTTCGTAGTATGTATGCAGAAACCTGCTTAACGCTATCGCGTTCAAAATAGGGTACAATTCACAGTTGGCAATAACAGGCTGTGGCAGAACTGAATTAAAGAACTGAAGAACTGAAGTAAATATGTGCATAGTAGCAAAGAACGAGTCAGTGATGAATTAGCAATAATTGACTTCAAGACAAATGTGTTGCTGCATTTTGCTTACGCAGCTCGGAGAGTCGTAACCAGGCGTGACCTTCCCATCGCACTACTAGAACACGAATGAGCTCGCTTGCTAGGAACGTTCTTCCATTACGCACAAAAATGTAGTGACGCCCCTGACCAATTCGTATGCTACAGTAGTTCTTTCCCAGAAATTGTCTATGGAACCGTTTATGTGTAGTGTTCACGGGAACGCGTAAGGGACGAATTATACGTGCATTGCATTGATTGAACTTATTGTATATTCTTTATCATGTGATTTCGGGATCTGTTCTTCTTAAAATAATACTGGAATGTGCATTGACAGCCTGATTACAGTACGCTTTCGAAGCGATGCCCAGTGGCGCCGCGCTCTCGTTGTAAATGGGAATATGACACGGTGCTCATTTCGCCACAGCACTGCCGCCCCCGCTTCCACGCATTCGCAGAGCCTTTGGATTGCACCTGTGGTGTGTCACGTGTAACTATTGCTCACTGGCGGTGCTCTGGGCTGAACGAGGAGCGCATTCGCTCACGCCCCCTTGCCGCCACCATTGACTATTCTGGCCACCAACCGCCTTTGCCGGCAGCCTCTATCCCCAGAAACACATAGCTCGTCCGCGCGAGCGTCGCGCCCAAACTTGAGCTTGGATTCCCTTTAGGCCTTTTCGAAAAAAGGGCCGCGGACGCAAACTACTGCCTGCCACCATTGTGAGGGCACCGCAGCAGACTGGGAAGTGTTTCCCAGCGACGCTGATGCGCGTTTTTTGCAGCGCACACAGACACCTCTTGCGTTCCTGCAGGACGCGAACCGCGTCGGGAGGGCACGCCGATGAGAGTCTCTTGCAGGCCAGATCCATGCATTGCCAGTCATAACAAGCCAAAATGCTCGTCCAACCCATTGAAGGTTACAAAATATTGCTCATTGTGCAACGGAAGCAGCTCAGAAATTGGATTGGATAAACTTTTATTTGGTCCTCCAAAACACAGATCACTGTGCTGCGGGCAGCTCCCACGTGGGGACTGAGATGCCAAGCTCCTCAGCCGCCTCGCGGGCTCGGTGGACAGCCCAGAGCTGATCTGCCAAGGATGAGCTGCGGATTGCCGCCTCCCATCTGGCAGAGGTGATGTTCGATATATGAGCGAATTTGGTGCACTGCCAGAGCATGTGTTCTAATGAAGCTATTTCCCCACAATGTGGACAAAGATTACTTGGGTATAGGTCAGGGTACATGATGTGTAACATTTTCAAAGTAGGGTACATCCGCGTTTGCAAAAGCCTTATTGTAAGTGCTTGGGGCCGGGTTAGATTTTTGTGAGGTGGAGGGAAAATCCTTCTAGACAGGCAAAAATGTTTAGTGAGCTCGTTATATGTTGTAAGAATTTCCCGGTTATCCCCTTCACCGGTGGAACGCATCCCCGGGGAGGCGCGGTTGGAGAGTTCTCGCGCCGCCTCGTGTGCTGCTTCATTGAGATTGGGAGGGGAATCGTTGATTTGCCCAAGGTGAGCTGGGAACCAACTCAGAAGATGATGCGTTGTGTTCTTGCCTTGCAGTATTCTCAGCGTTTGTTCAGAGACCGTCCCCTTGGCGAACGCCCGTAGTGCTGCCATGGAATCACTGTAGACGACTTCAATGTTATCCATCTTGAGTGCTAAGGCGATGGCCACCTGTTCCGCAATGATTGAGTCTTTCGTCTTGACCATCGCTGAGTTGACGACATGGCCAGCCCCATCGACCACCACTGCCACAAACGCTTTTCCATTGGCGTAGGAAGCCGCGTTAACAAATACGACCCCTCGTTCCTCGTTTGAGACTTGACGAAGTATAGCCCTGACCGTCGCTACTCTTCTTTCGACGCTGTGTTCTGGATGCATGTTTCTTGGTATAGGAGACACCGTGATATTCTCCCTGATGTTGTAAGGGATATCATTGTAATTGTGCCTGATTACCATTGGGTGTTGGCCCAGCTCCTGCAGGATCATTCTCCCCGACCTTGTTGTAGATAACCTTGCAAACTGTGCTCTCCCTTGGGCTTCTGCTATTTCTTCGAGCGTGTTGTGAATGCCAAGCTCAAGCAGACGCTCGGTGATGATATGTATGGGTAGGCCCAGGACCTTCTTGATAACTTTCCTGAGGAGCACATTCAGTGTCTCGGACTCTGCTCTTGACCAATTGTGCATTGCTGCCTCGTACGTGAAGTGGCTTGGAACAAACGCATGCATCAACCTGATGAGGTTGTCTTCCTTGATCCCATTTCTTTTGTTGGCCACTCTGCGTATGAGGTGCACCGCACTGTCTGTTTTCCAAGTTAACTTGGCTATAGATTTGCTGTTGGCGCCGGTAGACTCTATCAGCACACCCAGGACTTTGATGGAGTCGACCCTCTGGATGGAATCCCCTTGATTTGTACGGAGGTGGATGTCTATCTGGTTTAACGGCTTCCATCCCCTGGGTTTCGGTCCCCGGCGTGCAGTCCTATACAGTTCTGACTTACTCGAGGAGCACTTGAGCCCAGAAGGACGAAGGTACTCTTCTACGGTGTCAATCGCCTCTTGCAGGGTGCTCCCAATCTGCCCCTCGCTTCCACCTGTGCACCAGATGGTAATGTCATCTGCGTAGATGCTGTGCTTCAATCCTTCAATGCTCGATAATTTCTTTGACAGTCCAATCATGGCAATGTTGAACAGCATTGGTGAAATCACTGCCCCTTGCGGCGTGCCCCTTGCTTCTAGTTCGATTGCTGTGGTCTCGATATCTCCAATCTTCATCACGGCTTTCCGATCTGTAAGAAAGGACCATACGTAGTCATAGAAGGCTTTCCCCAGACCAAGCTTGGAAATTTCTTCGAGTATGAATGAGTGGTGGATGTTGTCAAACGCTTTTTCTAGATCTAGGCACAGAATGGCTCTCACGTCTCTCGTTTCGTTGTCGATGACCTGGTGTTTGATAAGCTTCAATGCATCTTGTGTGGATAGCCCTGCCCTGAATCCAACTAATTGTGTGTATATATGTCGTTATCTTCCAAGTACTTGTCTATCCTGTGCAGTATGGCATGTTCTGCAACCTTGCCGATACATCATGTCAAGGATATTGGCCTCATGTTGTCCAAGTTAGGGGGCTTTCCTGGCTTAGGAATAAGGATCGTCCTGGCCAGCTTCCACTGCTCTAGCACCCTGCCTTCTTTCCATGCTGCATTGATCATATCCTTCAGGGTTTCAATTGAATCATCATCATGGTTACGAAGGGCCTTGTTTGATATACCGTCCGGGCCAGGGGCCGACCTGCCGTTGAGATCATGCAAGGCTCTTCTGATCTGCTCGATGTTAAAGTTGCCCTCAAGACCTGGATTGGGCCTGCCCTGGTACTGTCTACGTGGTGGTGCCAATCCTCTTTTGATTGGGAGGTACTTATGCACGAGCCGCTGCACAACTTGCTGTTCTGTAGTGCGCCCTATCTCTTTGTGCAAAATTCGAGCGATAACATGCTTTTGATTTGTTTTGGTGGTGT